TTCTTTGTGACTTCTCTATCCCGTATTTGGTACAGATTTTGTCGATATATCCATCTTGGCAGATCCAAAGCTTCTTGTTGATAGATTCTCGCAGGATCCTGATGTTGAGGAAGGAGATTGCTTCGCTCAAATCCTTAATCCCGTACTTGTTGTGTACTGCTGACTTGAATTGCTTGATGTGGTGGACGCTTTCTTGTTGTGCAATGCAATAACAAGGAGATCGTCTACGTAGAGAAACAGGATGAGGCCTGTCTCGTTGTTGATGAGGATGCATGGTTCATCTGGGCAATGATTGAATCCCAGACCATTGAGGAATGACACGAGTTCATCGAACCATAGCTTTGGTGACTTTCGCAGGCCGTAGAGCGCTTTGAGCAGTTTCCAAACCTTTCCTGGTGTTCCATACCCTGGTGGACAGGCAGTATAGATCTCGTCGTCCATATCTGCGTTGATGAAGGCGTTCTTGAAGTCAATTTGATGACATAGAAGCCCAAACGCACAAACGAGTGCCATAAGGATACGGAAGCTCCGATACGCTCCAGTGGCTGCATAGATGTCGTCAGAGACATTATGTTGAAGATCGCCTCTTACGCATATTCGAGCTTTGTGACGAATAAGGTAGCCGGCGGCATCGAACTTGTATGTGAAAACCCATTTTAATGGCAGCACCTGTTTATGCTCTGGGTAATCAACGAGTTCGAAGGTTTTCTTGTCTTTGAGTGACTTAACCTCGGCTTCTGTAGCTTGCTTAAAGCTGTCCCTTTCTGGATGACGCTTTAGCTGGTGCCAGAATTCCGGTGGTGGCATCAAGTCCTTTCGATGAGTTCTTAGAGTCCGCGCCGATGCAAATACATGGGCCAGTTGTTGACCTAGTTTTGCACGTTCTAGTTGCAAGGCATGTGCCTGTCTCCGTGCCTTCTTCTGCACTTGGCGTGCAGTAAGCAGCTGCGTCGAGTTTGCTGTAGCACTTGAAGGATCTTGCGGTATTGTGCTTGGTCTTCTTGATCCAAGTGATGTTGGCGTAGGATATGGCTGTGCATTTGGCCTATCCATTTGACTCTGTGTCTCTGCTGCTGTTTGTGCAAGCAGAGGTTGTGGAAGAGGCAGGAACGTTGACGGAACCTCGTATTGAACTAAGTCAGGATTGATGACGGTGGTGTCTTCCAATGGGTGAAGTTCCGTGTCTGTGTCATCTAGATCGACTTCATTGATGCTTATAGCAAGTGCTTGTCCGGTCTCGGGAATGCTTATAGAGAGCTGTGGATCATACATGACCTTCTCGTCTATCCGTACATCCCGAGATATGACAACACGATCTAGATGCGGGATCCAAACTTTGTAGATGTTGGTTGCGTTTAGTCCAACAAGCCATCCCTTAATTGCCTTGTCCTGCAGCTTTGCCCTTGCAGGACGGTCTCTTCTGTGCTTGATCAAGACGTAGGCAAGGGATCCAATGATTTTGATGTACGAGAGATTTGGCTTGCGGCCATGTACCATCTCAAAAGGTGTCTGCCATTGCTTTCGTTGTACAGGGGTGCGATTGAGAAGACGAGTGGCGTGAGCTACTATGTATGGCCAGAGCTTATGGGGTAGTCTGCTTTGTATACGGAGCTTGCGTGCCACGGCCATGATCACCCCCCCAGAACGCTCTGCGAGGCCATTTTGATCTGGAGTGTCAGGTGGAGATGGATTGAAGGTAATTCCTCTTGCAATCACGAGATCCTTCCACCGCTGGCTTAGCCCCTTCTCGCCATCCGACTGGATGTATCGTGTGGTGAAGCCCCAGTTGTTATTGGTGATGGCAAGGAATTCTTGCGTCACTGCAACTAGTTCTTCTTGCGTTTTGTATGGGAGATTGAAGGAGACATGGTATGCTGAATAGTCGCAGTAGAAATGTACGACCCACGCATTGAGATTGAATGCCTCTTCTATGTGAATAAGATCCAGGTGGACCTTTTCAAATGGATAGGTTCCTCTCCACGTTGGAACGCGTGAAATTTGTTGGTGTGCTTGCGCAAGCTGACATTCGGGACAGAGCTCTGAGGTCCGTTGGAAATCGCGAGTGCCAAGTGCTACTCCTTCAACTGCGTGTGGTACTTGCTCAAGAGCTTCTTTCCTAATGTGCCCTAATCTGGCATGCCAAATATCCATTGATGCTGTGGCAATCTGGGGCGTCCTTGACTTCCTTGCCATGGCAAAGGCTTGCGCAGCTTTGGTGTGTGATTCGGCTTTGAAAACGGAATCCTGAATGTGTGGTTCAACGACCCGGAATGCGCCGTGTTTGGTTGCCCTGAATGCGTTTGATCCATCTGAATACTCCATCCAGCATGTCCTCGTGTTGAAGAAGAGTCCTTGCCCTTCGAGAGAGTCCATGTTGATGAGATTCCAGTGGAAACCTGGCACGTATGCAACGTTATCGAGCTTGATGAGACCAGGACCTGACGGAGTGTCTACATGGACCATAACGTCTCCTGTCCCCTCGATGTGCGCATCTGTGTCGCCAAATCGTATGATTTCGTCCTGCATCGACTTGTACCTAGCGAATCTGGATAGGTCGTTGCAGACATGCGTATCTGCACAATTGTCGAGCCGGAAGTAGTTGTCGTACTTGTCGTTTGCTGACGTGCTGAATGCAAACTTTGACGTAGCAAAGGATGCCCTTGTCCTAGCAGGGGTCGATGACGAAGTAGCATTGTTGGTTGCTTTTTCAGGTTGGGTATTCGAAGTGTCAGTAGGCCAAAACTTTGGTAGCGTTATGCTGTTTCTAAGGAAGTTCTTCTCGATCTTTGATCGGAGCCGTTTGCTTCCCTTGATTGCTGTAATGACCTTTGACTGAACTTGAACTATTGGCGTCCAATCTGATGGTGCGCATGCTGGGTTGAGATATCGGCAGTCTGCGTACTTGTGTGCCAGTCCGCACACGCAGTCTCGAAGGCATGTTGGAGAATTGGTTATTGTTGGAGTTGAATCGGCCCTCTGTCTCGTCCGTTTTGGCTGATGATTATCGTCATCCGATGAATCCGAATTATGACCGTGCTTTCTGCCTTGAAGGGTGGCGTGTGCAGCGCGCCCTCTTGCAGTCTTTTCGCTTGGCGGTGCCATGGTCCTAAACTGCTTGATGCAGAAGCCTATCGTAATTCTCTTATCGGAGAGAACTGGATTCAGCCGGCGGAAGGACCTGAGGTTCCTGTTGATGGTATTCTGCGCCTTCTGCACGATCGTAGTGTCGACACCGTCCTCTGTCTCGTCGGAGTCAGAGTCATTATTAAGTGTCATTGAACCGGTGCTTGCATGCTGTGGATTGATCTCGTTGAGCGCAGTAAGAAGTGCGTTAGAGATGTTCTCCATTGTCATTGCGGTTTGTCTGATGAGGGTTGTTTCTCCCTCGACATGAGCCTCTTTTGACTTCATGTAATTGTAAAACGGAGGATTAAGGTCCCGAGAAGCTTCGATGAAGGCATCGCATATCTGCGACTCGCTCAGGTTTTCGATCTTATACCGCTTCGCATTGTTAACGAGAGTAGGCCATCGACTGAGCCATTTGTCGAGACCAGTGCTGCTATGCCCCTTCTTGAGCTTCTCAAACTCTTCCCTAACGTTCTGTTTCTGGTCTTTTGCGGTCGGCTGGATGCTCTCAGCTAGCGCAATAAGCTTGCCTCGGACCGTATGAATTCCGAGGTAGTGTTGCTTAAACTCCTGGCAGACGGTGATGTCAATGCGTTCGGAGACTTTATCGTACTTCTTCTTTTCGCTATCGTAGATAGCTTGAAGGCTGTGGAATTTCTGGATCGTGTCCTTGCTTGCCGAGTCTGGTGGTTTGGTGACAGTGAAGACCAAGTTTTCAATGCCTTCGGGGTCACAGTAGTTCCACACATCGTTCCGTATAGCAAGGTCCTCGATGGCGTTCATCCAGTCGGTCCAGTTGTTACGCGCGTTAAGCATCGGAAGGTTGTGATCCTTGATCGACATCGTTGCCGTAATTCCGCAGATGGTAACGGATTGTTGCAAAATCAAGATGATCCGTCGTATCCGATCTTGATTGTTCAAAGGCCATAACTCAGTCGATTTCTGAGTCCTTATCTTTGAATGTTGAGGTTGTGATGTTGCTTTTTCTGCAACCCCGCTTCTCGTGGAATCGGCGGAGGATTGTCGCCGCTTCGTAAGAACAACTGCTCCATTGAGAGGAGAATTGCCTGATTTATTTGTCGCTCGTGATGCTGTGTAGCAGGAGAAGAGCTACCGGGCTCATAACTGTCGCACTTTGGTGTGCATGGGGCGAAGCAGGGTTGGAAGATGATTTCAAGCAGCAGAGTATGATTCATGTGTGTGACTTGTGTGTGTGTGTCGGTCGGGTTACCCCGCCCGTTATCTATATAGCTTTAATGGCAAGCTTATTAATGCAGTTCTTGCCTCAGGCCTCTACGGCTGATGCCTTGGTCTGCGACAGCTTATTATCTAGCGTATTGTTATGTAAGCGCGCTAACTCCTCATGCCAAGACATCCTTAAGGCTATCTTGCACGGATAAATTCGGAGCGCATGTTCCTAATGGCTAAGCTTCTTTATATTGTAGAAGTATCTTCTCTTGTGATAGAAATATCATTTACGTACTCCGAAATTTGAAAAGGTGTTAATAGCTGTCGTGTAGCAGGGGTGCAAACCTAAAATCGATCTAGACGTCGTGAACGGAACGATCAACAGCATGACCAAAACCATCGTATTTTTCGTACTGTAGACTGGTTCCTAGAAGGAAAGTATCCCAAGAAAAATAATACACTGACTATGGCTTGATAGAGTCGCGAGGAAAGGAGTTAAGATGCTTGAACAATAGGTTTATCTCGGCGCAGGGTGTTTCTCGACCCGCAGTGAGGGACGTTACCAAGCACGAGGATTCAGTTCGCAAGCTCCACCGGCGTGGTCAATCATTCGTTCAACACCCAATCTTTTTTCCTACTTCTCATTAAACTCATCTACTAATATTAGTGCCCATTCGCTAATATGTTCAAGGTAACATACCCATGCATATACACATTGCCACCATAAGTGCTTGATCAACATTTGGCTCAACTATGAGTCTGTATCCTTGCTTGTTAAAAAGCAAGTCGCGAGGCTCTAGTAGCTTGCGTTTGATAGAGGCAAGTTCTGTTTGAGTTCGTTCGAGAGTGATCTTAGCCCCGAGATGCAACAAACTCTCTTCCCTATATACAATTAGTTTTCACTCGACTTTATTTGAGATTGTATCTACATTTTGAATTCCTCTACTATTCTAGAAGGTGAAGTAAAGGTTGCTATAGCTTTTAAGCCTATAACTATACAACTATAAGTATATGCAATGTCCTGTAAAATCACCGCTACACTTACGCTTAAAGCGTCTCTCCACATTTAAAAACTTCACACCTTGCGAGTCGGTACAGTAATAGGTTCGACGGAATGTGAGAAACTTCTTCCGGATGTCGAATAGTTTAATGCCTTGAGAGTCTGTCACTCTCTTGCGACCCGAAAGCGAGAAGGTATGCCCCTTAACTTGAAAGCGATGTTGACCATTAGAGGTCCTAATGTCGAAAGAATCACCAGAAAGCGAGGCGATCTTTTCTTTAAGTAGTAGGGTCTCCTCTTCAGAGAAGATGAAATTTTGGAAGTGGCCAATTGGTTGCGAAATAGAATCCATGTTGTTAGGTATAGGCAAGCTTTTTTGTTCTGATTCACTTCTGTGGTAAGTACTTGTATAATCTAGGAATACTATAAATAAACGAGTCTTTAAATAGTTAGCTGTTAAACAGGTATTCCTATTTATAAATAGATGCCCATTTATAGGATTAACGTAGACGCACTATCACCTTGCCGACTGCCATCGACGGGCTCTTCGACAATCAAGAGTACGATGCTATTCATAGCTTTATCATCATGTCGGCCAACGGGAAAAGTAGAGCGGGGCAGGAGGAGTCGAGGTGGCAGAGCTCAGTGGTCTGGTGGTAGTAGCACTCGATTCTTCACACATGACCAGACATCTAGGTGCCGGATATTAACCAATTACGAAAAGTAGAATTTATAGAGCCTTAAATAGTCACGATATGCGAAGACGTTTACATACTAACTGCGATGACTTTGAAACATAATTTCGCTTCATTGGCAGCTCCCATGCCCTACACCGCTCACAGTCGCCGACATTTGAGCTTCTATGATCTGGAAGCCCAAATACAGAATCAAGGTACTGCTGTTGAACTAACCATTGCATGCTGTGAGGAAAACCGCCGATTGCGTAACGATGGTCGTGCCCAACGCGTACGTATATGGTGACGATCTCAGTCGGGTGCCTCACGTGGAAAATGACTCTCTTCCTGAATCTTGAACATTGGGTACATATATCAGCTGGTCCTTCGAGGTCCCCAAGACCAGTAGAGTCGATGATAAAATCCAAACCTCTTGGCGAAAGCTTAGCAAGCAGTTCAAGGACCTTGGGGCTGTCGTTCCTGCATCGGATTGATCCTTCGCAGCGATAGAAGCCATTGTCAAACTGTGGAACACAATCAAGCTCGAAGAAGAAGGAAGCTATCAAGAGAGAAAAGACAAACTCCTGAATGTCGCGGGATATGTGAGGCTGAGTATTCACCGCCTCACGCAGTTTCGGCATCATGGACGTATCATCGATGGCGGCTGGTTCATTAAGGTGGACGTTGAAACGGAAGTATCTCTTTCGCGTTTCAGGGTCCAAGCGGCTGATAACAGCGTTCCAAGTGACCTCTCCATCCATTGAAGAGGGAATATAACGGCCGATTCGAGGAATGAAGCCGTCTTTTAAGATATGCCTGAAGTGGGGCGCATGTGGAGACTGATCTTGCTCAGTGCCGGTTCCGAGAGACAGAACGATGTCTTCTTTACAATCACCAGGCCAGATGAGCTGACTTTCGCAGAGTCCTAATATGATAGGGTTGTTGTTTTTCATGGCCCCGTCTTGGTATGTTCCAAACAAGTCTAAATGTGCAACTTGGAAGAGACTAAAGGCTACATTAGCAAGATCTAATAGGTAGTGATTCGTGTACTAACATTGGAGCGGCAGAGGTAGCTCTAGCACTTATGTTCTAATTAGTCAAGTACATAAGATTGTTCTAGACCTTTACTTACGCTTCCCATACAAATGGGCTTTCATCGATACTGGTATCAATTGGCTTCACGTGTGTGTAACCTTTATCAGTCTTAGTAAAGCATCAGTGTACCAATTGAATAGCCATACCTTCACACTTCTTCATGCTGTTATAGTTCGAGAACAAGAACGCTGAGCAGTCTGTTATATTTGTAGCAGTTACGGCAACTTTCGCACCTGCGTAGGCGGAGGTTGCTGGATCTCTTAGACGCCTGGTAGCTCCAAATGTGCGCTGAAACTGCGTTTCTAGATTAGCTGTGTTGTACTGCCCGTCCGTAATCCAGGTTCGCAGATGGTTACGCCACCTGCGTATCAAAGAACCCGATGTATCCTGTGTTTTCCGAAAGAATTGCTCAAAAACACCGTTGAAGGTTTGATCGCATTGATGCACGCTCCAATTGTAGAGAGATAGCGTTAAAGCAATCAACCCTCCTACATATAATTAGCTGTGTCATAAATATAGAAGATTAGGAAGGCAATGTACCAGAACTTGTTCCTATAGAAATGTCAAAAAAGTCTTGTAGACGACAGGTCCCCAAGGCCTTCTGTATCAACAAAAGACACTCCAATGGAACAACACCTCTAATTCCTCCACCATCAATGCTTAGTACCCTTGTGCCAGCTGTTGGAGGCTTGATCCTAACTTTCAGAGCGCCTGGCTTAGGTGTCGTGCCGCAGAGGATACATGCCGCGATGGTATAGTTATACTCTTTTCCTTGATCTAAATCTCCAAAGATACGTACGCATGTATCGCATATGGCGTGTCCGCAACTAAGCATATGCTGCGGTACTCTTAAACAGCAAAAGAGGCAGGACTTTGTTGTTTTAATGTCTTTCCAATAATTCCCTATACTTGCAGTACGACTGCTACTCGCTGGGACGGTTTTTAATGACTTAAAAAGTGCACAAAAGTGCTTCTCCACTCGGCGACTTTGATACTCCCCCATGCTTTCATTAAATGCTTCAGACGATGCCTTAATGAATGAAGGGCGATACAATAATCGATATAAGTGTCGTGGTGCGAAGCCTGATACTTCTGTTAGATCTTCTTTTAAATAAGAGCAGATATTTTTCCTTACTGTGTCCGCCTGCGGGATATGCGTCCATAAAGAAGCTGGAAGCGAGGAATCTAATAATATCCTCATACATTATCATTCCCTCTCTTCCTGCTTTAATGATAGTACTAATGTGATCTTGACTACCATTGAGGGAGTGATTTACTCGCGTGGCTTGAACTATGTAAAATGGGTCCTGTAGAGACACTGTGCTATGCGCGAGCGCTGCTTTGATAAGGGCATTAAGGTGCCGAGCGCTGAATAACCAGCAATGCTGACGAAGCTCATTTTTGACTTGATCAGTTTGCCGTAAAATTTCTTCTTTCAAAGGGCGGTGTCTAGCTAGCTGAGAAAGACGTTCATCAATAATGAAGGTGGTAATTTGAGAGAAGAGCTTGGTGTTGTTGAGAAGTCCAGCGCAAATTTTTCGAAGACCCGTTTGATCTTTTTGAGAGGATACGACGATGAGACGAGCGCGGATCCTTTTAGGAAAAGTCGAACTTAAGATATCCCACTGTGTCAAAAAAGTGCGGATGTCTTCTAACGCGTCGCAATCGTCGACAAAAATCGTTAAAACACTAACGAACGGCAGCACTACACGGGACAGCAAAGCGTCCATTATGGTCTGGTGTTCGGTGCATGGCCAGTTTACAACATGCGCAGTAGACTTATGGCAAGATGCGGGTTTCTGCTGTGCTAATATATGCTCAGTGAAATAACCGTCGGCAAAAATGATGGGGCTTTGGCATGTCCTTGACGTCGTTTCGACCCTAATCCCAAGAAAGCTGTCTGACTGAGGTTTCCGGAAATTATTATGGGGGAACAGGTGACGTAATGCGACATTCTTGTGCCCTTTTCCCAAGAAGAGTAGAAGACTTGGAGTCTGCGTTGCACTATCGGGAAGAGTGTTGATAATATGCTCTAGCTGGGAGGTATCGTTTACTGTTATTAAAGGCTTGGAAGCTGAGGAGCTTGTTGCTAGCTGCAACCACGCAGTGTGATTCTTACAGGACATCTTTGTTCTGAGAAAGAATTCGGGGGAGGGCCATAGGCTATTATAGTCGCGCTTGCTAATGATAAATATAGAATTGTGTTGGTGTTTCGTTGTAGTTTCATCACATACTGGCTGCACCTTCCAATATAAAAAGGCGAGCGACCGTTTAAAAAATTTAAAAATGGAAAACGACGAAGTCTTTAGGAGGCTTGCGGAGACCCGAAGCTACTTTCGGGGATCTGCAAAGCTCCCTTTACGATGCCTACAATTCGAAACGCAGGAAATGGAAGGCGCCCGGACTCTGGACGCCAAAAATATCTCCCGGTTGTTAAGAATCTATGAAACTGAGGGCTGCCATCGTCTTGAGCCGGAGCACCGTATTGCCGCATTAATCAATAAAGATATCCTCGCTCATACGCTTAGAAGAGGAGATGGAACGCGAGAGTTTCAGACCACGGAACTTATGGATCAAAGAGAAGACCCACTTCTGCTAGAATTCGAGAACGGTGTCCATATCACGTGCTTGCATGGGCAACATAGAATTGAAGCAGCTAAACAGTACCTAGATAACATTGAGAAATGGTGGGTTATAGACCTTTATCTCGATGGTATGCTTCACTTCCAGAAAGCGAACTGTCCTAAACTCCTAATAGATCTCCCTAACACCATCGCTCTGCATCTACGGACAGAATACTCTAACGCTCGTGCGTTCTGTGATGGGGATATATTTCGATATCTCCGGAAGTACTCAAAAAACGAAAATAGAGCACAGGAGAGCAAGTGGCAAGCAAGACTGAAAGATTCCGAAAGTAAAGAGAAGGATATTAAGAAGTTAGTGTCAAAGATGCGTCCCTTATGCGACGCATTTGACGACCTTCTCCCGTTCATTGGCTTGTGGGCAACACTTCGACTTGGCACTTTTCACCGCTATTTAACGTTGAGATGCGAACAGGTAGGCTCACCTAGATCTTAAAATAAGCTGCTTACATCATTCTTAGGAACTTATTCACTACCTATCGTATATCCGTACTACGTGGTCATTCATCCTCTTAGACGATGCAAGGCTATTTGCACTACTAGACCCTCGAACTGTTTCCTTTTTAGAGCTCCTTTCACCCCTTTATTCATCTGCAGATTGGGCAGAGATTGAAGAGTCAATGGGTAGCCGGTACCTCTTTCCAGCGATCGTAGACCAGGAAGTTAGAAACGACATCCTTCCCAGATTAAAGTCTCAAAGCCGAATTCCGTCGTTGCACACCTTTTCCGAGGACACTAAATACTTGGAGCCTTGCGCAAAGGTCATGAAAGGGCTATTACGACCAAAGTTTAAAGGAAGCATTTTTCACGCCTTTAGAAAGGGTTTTAATCCCTCCCCCCAATCATCCGTCCAGTGCGCCGAAAAAGTATTTAAAAACACCTTGACCAACTTGCGACCTAGGGTTCAATTCCAACTCAAATATCTCGAGGCTTGGCTTTTTTCTATGCGCCATTTCCCGAAACTGATAGAGTATAATCCGCGCAAAGACCACGGTAAAATAAAGCCTAAGACGAAACTTTGCGACATACTGTGGGGTGATCTTGGTCTCTTAGTAGAGACTGGGGGCTTTAACTTACCAGAGGCTTCACGACTAGCAAACGCAAACCATCTGGAAAACATGGTCAAAGATTTCGTGGTTGGAGTCTGTCTAGGCGACATCTACGATGTTCAAGAGGCGGACGTAAGGGCCGTAGTTAGGAGTATCTACGATAGCATTGTCAGCATCGGCTCGACTCCGCGGATTACAACAAGCCCCCCGCTCACCATTAACGACATTCAACAATCAAAGTTACAGCGATGCGGTCGTCCATACGAGAAATCCCATCTATTAGATCGAGAGTTCCTATTCATCACAAACATGGGCGACCTTAGGCCGGAAAGAGTTAGAGAGTATATTACCTCGTTCGGTATCAAGAGAGAGATATTTCGAGCGTTCTTTGACATTCCCTCGTTCGAAATCATGGATGATAATTTGCAACATTCCCCAGAGTCACCGGACTCGGGCCTATTCGCGGCACACCCGACACCCCCTCAAGCAAGCTACAGCGAGGCTACGCAAAATCAAGGCGAAGATCCTGACCCGAGAGAGCAAAGTGGAACAAGACAGCAAGGCGAAAGTTCTGGAGAAGGTCCTCAGCAAAGAGATAGCAATACAGGTAGTACGTCGAAGGAGCGGCATAGCACAGCATCTATCGGACCACTAATGTACGGTCCATTGACGGTAAGAACAGAGGAAGACTACGAAGTATTCACGCGGAGGATCGTCCACAAACCCGTTGTGCTTTATGTCATTGAAAGTCGTAATGTGTACATGTTTCCGTCCGCCGATCCCGATTTGCGACGGCCTACTCTTCAATACCTCCTTGATCGTGGAAAGTGTGCCTTTGGTATCCCGAATATGGAGGAAAAGAGTATTGATTGGAAAGGGATTCAGGATGTATTAACCGTAGGAGACGGTATCATTTTTGCTGTGGCGAATCTTAGATCAGCATCTTCACTCTCTGCGCGTGCTAAGGTCGGCGTAGAAGCACTAGCTGACATACGACGACTATGTGGATCGATTCCAAAAATAGATATAGAAATATTTTTAACAATGTTTCCATTTAACGGATAAATAGAAATCCTATTTTAAGATACAGCCATTTCTCCAAACTATATATACGAATATAAAGGCTAGTAAAAGGGCATTAATTCAAAATGACTTCTATGTAAGCTGATAGGTTACTAGAAGCTTATATATACTAACTGGTAAATAGGGATTCAGCCCGGAAAAATCATACTAAGCCTACTAGCTCTAGTAGTTATGGTGGTACTATAATCGCTACTATTATAGTAGTAGTTGTTATCTTATTTATAGCTACTGTTCTATACCTTCAACATCGGCTAAGCCGATACCGAAAGCCAAGGACCGAGAATGCAAATGAAGGCAGTCCTGTTGGGTGGTATAGTTGACGAGCTTGAAGCTAAGAATAGACTCTTAATAGTCCTATCTATAATCTATTTATAGATCCATGCACACATATAAAGCTTATTCCTTCTCTTAATATTATCTATCACGATTTATTATGGCAGCGAGTGATAAACGTAATACGCTTTTCCCTCGGTCGGAAATCAGCACGCCGAGTCCTAAGCCCGAATTATCCCAGGGTCCTAATACGCTACAAAAACGGAAATTCATTCATGAGCGTGGCGACCCTACCCAGAGATTTCCAGTAAAAGCTTCTACGAATCCGGGACTATTTCCGCAATTTACTTCTCTCACTCTATCAAAAGGCTCGCCATGGGTAAAGTATCAAAGAGTGCTTGAGGAGGATCAAGGAGGCCCGTCTACTGTCGCCTTCAGAAAGGACTCAACATTTCCGATTGTGGTTGTAAAGAGTTATCTCGCAACAGATTCTTCTAAAGTCCAAGACGTCTTTAGAACTCGACATCCAAACATTGTTAATGTATTGGATGCTTTCTATGAAGACGATACTACATACATTGTCTACGAATATATGACTAGATCAATTGCTGAGGTCCAGGCTACCCCGTTGGGAAAGTTTGAGGAGTTTGAAATTGCTGCAATATGTAAAGAGGTACGAGCATTAAGCACAATTGTTATTGTATGCTTATATATTGCAGGTTATTGAGGGACTTTTATTTCTACACGATCTAGATATTATTCATGGGTCCTTTACCAGTAGCATAGTACTTCTAAATAGAGAAGGAAATGTGAAGATTGGTAAGCTCTTACGTCCTACAACATATAAGATACTAAATGGAACTGTAGCTAATATCGGAGAGAGTGTCCTAATATCGAGCCCAATTAGCAAAGGTATAGATATTCAAGCATTGGGTCGCTTTATCCTGCAATTAATGGAGCCAAGCTCTATTCTCCAGCAAACGTCGACTCTCAGCCTTAAATACCCTGAATATTGGTCTATTACTTCAAAAGAGTTTCTATCACAAGTAAAATCTGAAGCATTAATCAGTTTGAAGAACGTGCGTATCCTTCCCCCTTCTATTATTCAGGTTAGACTAAGGAGACAAGCATAATTTTCTACAAATGTCACCGGGTCCAGCATGCTTAAAACCTCACGTCTTGGTGGCAGAACGAGCTGTAAGGCCAAATTGGAAGATCTTCAATGCGCCATTTTGATGACAGTGTCGAGGCTATGTAAGAGGGATATCATATATGAGGGGCGGAAGGATTGTGAAGCAAGGTTTCTGTAAGAGGAGAGTGCACGGCAGGGAGCTCGTAGATGGAATTGACGATATTCGTGTATTGAGAGACGAATCCTTAAGGAATCGTGATGCATGGCCTGGGGCTATATATACCCCGGCCTGAGCGAGCACGTAACTCGCAGAGGCCTCGCAGGCTATACGCCTGCGCAGGTAGGCTGCATGAATTGGAAGGATGTATCTGTATCCTATCCGGTAAGTTAGCTATATAGTTAGTTAGATCACAACTTTGTATATATAGGCATTTCCAGCCATACAGATTTGGTGTGCGTGGTGTGCGTGGTTGTGAAGCTTGATGGGTGCGGGGTCATGCACGTTGAGCTACGCGGTACGTTGAGCTACGTAGGACTAATGAGCGCACGCGAATTAGTCCGTGGGGCGGATACCCCTGTGTGCAGTACGACGCTCCCTCTAGCGGCCGAGTTGCGCAATCGTTGTAGAATATTCTACCCGCGTGGTGTGCCGCGTTCCTGGTTCTCGGCGCCGCGTGCGGCATTTCTCACCTTCTGGCGCAATATGCCGCCGTAGGCCGACGCACATAGAAAAACACGGCGAAACGCGAAATAGTACAATCGGCCGCAAAATGCGGCCAGGCCTGCACCCATAGGGGTCCGAAACGCCCCATCACAAACTATGGAGATACGCCGGCGCGCGGCTCATCGATAACCCGGGCAGACGCGACCTCAAGAAAGTCAACCTTTACAACACCAGCGCGCGAGGCAAAGTGAGCACTGTGTGGCATCATCAATGTTTATATTATAGACTGCGTGCTAACTACACGGTAGCAATAATAATGGTGCACGCAACGGTGGCTCCCCTCTGGGCAACAAACACGCCCTGCCGAGCCACGTGCCGCCTCTCACCACCCACGGCCAGATACGACATGTCACATACAACGCGTTCGCAGCGCGACCTGCAAGAGCCTGGCGGTGCTGGACCGCCACCCAGCTTGAAGGAGCTGGGCAGGGTAGTCCCCATATCTTAAAACAAACTCTCAATCTTTTCCGCATCACTCGGCGACACTAGCACCTCTATTCTAACTCCAGTCCCTCGCCTGAATTTGCTCGCATAGTGGTATACACGAGTCCGACGACGCAGATCGATGTCCAGCCGGATGAAACTGGACGTAACAGTGCCTCCGCAAGAAAGAATCATTCTCACCTCACCGCGTGGCCGAGCAGCGCCCACACTGCTATTACTTCGGCCACTCACTTCACCACTCTCACTTCGCGGCCCACGAGAACTCGGTAGCGCCAGTTTGATACCCAGCCCGAAGAAGCCAGCAAGACAGCTACAATCATCTCGAAACAGCTCGATCCTAGCCTCTCCGCACCAGCCAACGACGCCCGCCGGCCGACCAGCCTGAAACCCCCCCCCCTGCCCTTACACTTGAAAACGTTCGCAGCGTGACCTGCAAGAGCTCGACGGTGCTGGACCGTCACCCAGCTTGAAGAAGCTGGGCAGGGTAGTCCCCTTGTCTCAAAACAAACTCTTCCTCTTCCTATCCTACGACAAGCCACGTCAAACAGTCGAACTGCGACGTCGCCAACAGCAGCGACATACAACCGCTTCCGCGGCTGCCTAACGGAATCTCCCGCCTCGCTTAACTTCACGGCGCTCCTCCACACGCTCTACCGACGACGCTTCTCCTCGCAAACCATCGCGTCTACACCAACCTCATTCTGCCGTCCTCACCGGCCTCTGCCCGCAATCAACGGCAGCGGCACAGTACGGCAGCACTTGGGCAGACGTACCGAACGCCGCCAAACAGCCACCACCCGCCTTCTGGTACAGCAACCATCTCACGATCAGAAATGAGGCAGGGTTGATCCAGGATTCGACATCACTACAGATGAGTACAGCCGCCTGAAGGGTCAGATTGAAAGAGTCTCTAGAAGAATCAAAAAACCGGAGGACTCGCACACCGGCGTACGAGGCAGTGCACTCAAGCGGAAGCACGCCGAGGCCTTCTGTGAGGAGCTCCCACAATTCAAGGACGCACCAAACCCCTGGCGAGACAGTGCTATTGCGGCGATGATAGGGTGGTCCATTTCAAGAGTAGACAACCAACCAAGCAGTCGTAAACGCGCTCCTCAACACGCTTCTGGACCCGAGTCAACTACAGGAGATACCTCATCTACTCCAACACCCCGCTCGCGGCACGCGTCACCCCAGCTTGCGCCCGTTCGTACGCGTCAGCCGAGCCCCGACAGCGACTCCTCCCCCAGCGCGTCGAGACGCACACAATATCGCCCGAACAGACAGACGATTGCCCACCGGACCCATCAACCGCCCTTTTCCTCCCCGAGCCAGCCGCCGACACCTCCACCGATGCAGGCAACCACAACCATGAATAACGATGGCAAGTCGGGGTTCAGTGATATAATGTTCACGGTGATGGACGCAGGCTCCCCCATAGGTGTCATCCAGTCATCATATGTCCTGGAGGCTGAGGTCGGCCAGCGTGTGCAAAAACTCAGAGCGGACCTAGAAGCATATCCACAACTATCCACCAACGGCCGGCTCAACCACAACATCTACATCTTGCCGTGGCAGTTCCAACACCTCCCTGTGATAGCAGACGGCACACTCATTGCAGCCTTGAGGGATCTTACGGAGAAGGGTAGCATGCAAGCTCATATTGAGGTCCTGCCTGTGCCACCACTGCAATTCGGCCACAACCCTCTACTCGCCCAGCCGCACGGCTCCGGACTACAGCTTATCACTGGACCAGCAGGTCGTCAAGTGCAGGTACAGCCCGACCAACACTCTGGCGATGCACTCGAAACTAGCGATGACGTGGACATGCCCGATTATAGGCAGGAGATTAAGGAAGAGTTAACAGACGTGGAGTCTGTGTTCGGAGGTGGTCCGGACAACGGTGACTTGTCGTCCAGTGGTGTCAAGCGACGCCCATCGGCTTCGCTCACAGACGCCCACACTGAAGGAGCACACAAGCGGCCAAAGGTGACGGACGATACACCCCAAGGAGCAGAGGAGGCAACGCCGCTCGAGCCAGTTACGGTCCATGGCAACAATCAAGACGACGCCGCGACGTCAGGCGAGAACGAAACTCTTGAGACTCTGGAAGGGCTGCAGCTGCTTCACCAGGACACGGCAAGCAAGCACAACAAACGCGCTCGCACCCTATCGGCTGAGCGACTCTCGCCGGATGAGAACTCAACCACCCCAACGCCACTCGCGAAGCAGTCCAAACCCGACAATAAGAGCACCATCGTGATACGCAGCCAAACCCCGGTAGGCGCGTTTGGTCGCTCAGCATCCGTGCCGTCCTTTAACACTCCGACTCCGGCCGGCGACAAACTTCTGCAGGAGGCGGCACCGCATGCCAGCGCCTCCACCCCTCGTCTGAGCCTCCACGACGGAACAGCGGCCAGCGCTGACAACGGCGACAAACTTCTGCAAGAGGCGGCACCGCATGCCAGCGTCTCCACCCCTCGTCCGAGCCTTAATGCCGAAGCAGCTGAGGTCCCCGAAGTCAGCGACAAACTGCCAGCGACACCACTGAAAGCCAACGCCCCAAGTCCTCGTTCGAGCCGTGACATCAAGCAGACGACTGCTCCCAAAACGAACGAATCGCAGCACTCCGCGGGAGAAACCGGCAAACCCATAGTGTTGTTAGACGACGAACCCTTCGACCCAGATGGGGAAGAGCCCGAAGAAGACGATTGCGAAGAGGACAACGACGACTCAGACGAGAAGAGGGAGTACAACCAACGCCTGTTCCTAGAGCAATTCCTCAAGCAGGGCTCCAGCGATTTGCACAGCCAACTGGCGCATGTAACACTAGCCGACATCGATCGCATACTAAGATACTTCCCTCTCATCAAGCGAGAACAACTCCTGGTTAACGAGATGTTCATAATCCCCAACTGGGGCCTAGCACCAGGATTCAAGATCAGTCCATACCAGCTACTGTTTATAGCATGGGCATTCGAACTAGAGCGATCTATCGTAGGCGGCGGAACCTGCGCAGACGAGGCAGGGGCCGGGAAGACCATAGAGATGTATGGACTCTGGCTCATGAATTACTTCCACTATCAAAACGCCGGAGAAGTGAAGGCCGCCTGGAAGATGGGTACATACGCTGGTCAACATCTACCAAAAGGAGCACATCCAAGTGCTAAATGCCCACAAGCGAAAAAAATGCCGATTACCTGCTTCTGTGAGAGTTCCCGGGACGTGCTATACCCAAAGGCCGCACAGCGAGGCTGCACAGTACTCATCACACAACCCGGAGGCATGCCAGGGTTCGTGAAGGATGCGAAAGGAATGCTACTCGGCGGCGACATTATGAAGCGGCCCTATCCTCCTCGGATTTCCATGCTTGCGGGTGGCTACACCTATGATGAGCTCGTTGGAAAGCTCACCAAGCGGGAGCTAAAAGAGATCGCGAAGGTCATCGATTGGACGGAAGAGGACGAGTGGGAGAGCCGGCCAGAAAACCAGTTCCACGAGGTCAACAAAGTCGAGAAGTCCATGCCGTGGCCCGAACCTACCTTCTCGAACTTGCTGGAGGGCAACACTACCAGACCTGGACGATCGTCACCACACGCCGCCCGGTTCATGCTTGTCACAACGCGGGCCAACCTTCAGAATCGAGTCATCACCCCATTCCAGACCACCCGATTCAACACGTGGAGGTTCTCTGCTAACTCCAAGATCAACAACCGTAGGCACACCAAGTCAGCTCTGCAAGTGGGACGTATATTCTGGGACGAATGTCACTTGGACGCAATGGGCAAGATTATCCCAACTTTTATTCGAGGGCAGGTGGAAGACCACCAGAAGGCCTATGGCTGCAACCCATTTATATGGGGTGCATCTGGTACGCCGGACAATGGGAACCCACTGTTGCCAATGTTTATGGTTCTAGACGGGCTGAGGACGAAGAAATGGTCAGACCGGGGGCTGAAAGGAACTAAGCACGATGTGCTCCTCGAAATCACACCAGAGTCGATAGCGGCGAAAAGGAAACAATTCGACACGCTAATTAACACCGCCAAAACGCACCCAGACAAGGCAATCGGCGACCCTAACTTCAAGACCCTAGCCGGCTTCTTCCGTAAGGTGGTTCCGATGTTCCAGATACGCCGTAGATCCGCAACGCTTTGGTTCGACGGTACTCCGGTAATTCCAAAAAACAGCACTCTGGAACTAGTAACCGTGCAGCTCGAACCGTGCGAGAAAGAGAGGGCAATCTTGGAGGAACTGGAAGGAATGGTCAAGATCGAGCAAACCCGCAGGCACAAAGAGCTGGTAGAGGAGTGGAGAGACAATGGCGCACTAGGACCAAAGCCTGAGGCGCCCAACGTAGCAAACTCGGCGTCGTACACTAACGCGAAGACTGCCGCAACTATTGCAGAGTTAGTTGAGCACTGGGAAGGTATAAGCAAGAACTTGAGCTGCACTATACGTGACCCAATCGTGCAAGGCTGGATCCGCAACCCCCTCTCCGGAGACTTCACCACGCTCCTCGATCGCCTAACTGCCAACTGCGCAAAGCTAGCCGAAACACTCAAGCTTTGCGAAAAAGTCCAGCAGGAAAAGAGACTCGATGGGACGAGGGCCAAGATCACTATCGCAACTCGATCCCCACTCGCTCTAGCATGCTGGTACAATCGACTGGTCCAAAAATACGACAGCAAGCAAATCTTACTGTACAAAGCCGGAGCGACGCCCAACGAGCGGAAGAAGTTGCAATCCGATTTTGACGACGACGAGAGCAAATGGGTTATGATGTGCACGCTCCATTCTGTCATGACTAGTATTAACTTGCAACGAGCCAACTACAATCTTATGGTCGAGCCTAGCCACAAGATGTCCGAGATCCAGCAGTACTTCCATCGCTCCGACCGCCGAGGCCAGACGGAGAAGATTGTGCACGGGTACCTCCTCATCAATTCATGCTCTTCACTAGAAAGGAGGATGTTGCGATCTATGGACTTCTCCGAACTGTTGGACGAGCAGGTGTACAAGGTAAAGGATGGTGTCAAGTCTAAAGGACGCGGCACCAAGTACGACGCCATCGTGATAACGTAGCGGTAAGGCAACACTGCGTCATCGGCACGGCGGAGCTCGAGCTCAATGTCAGAACACAACGTTGGCTTAGGATGATACGCCTACTTGATGTGGGCAGTGGCTTTATAGCAAGCCTTGCTGCTGGAGAAGAGTAGCGTATATGGAGGCTGGAAGGAAGCATACTACTAGTTTAGAAAGAGTAGCATAGCATAAATAGTAACTCCAGCCACCTTACTCTAGCTCTCTGCAGTGATAATAAGTACTTACTATAGTTAGCTGCAAAATGTAGTAAGTTAGACAAGTTTCTAGCCCCGCCGCAGTTTATAGCTAACTGCGGTAGATAGCCTAAAGTTTCTAGCCCTGCCGCAGTTTACAGCTAAGGTAAAATGCGCACATCTGCTAAAACTACAGGTTTCGCAGAACGCCAAAAAAATCCGCAGGGAACTATTTCCCTGACGTAGGGACGCACCTTACACCGTGGTGATTATGTAGGACTTGCGGGGTCATTTTACACTAGCCGGGATTGGTAAGTGCTTCAATCAGAAGTACCGACTAGGGTGGCGACCTTGCATGCATTTACGTGTGATAGCAACAACAAGGCTAATTAATAACGACTTCCCAGTATGAGTATCAGAAGTGATGGGAGCTTGATAGTGGTGCTATGACGACGGAATTCGGTTACGCCATGAAAGAAGGCTCTCCGCAAATCAGGCGCGAAGGCAACAACGCGAACGTAATTTTTAAGTAGGAGGTGTTCTGAACGTTCAGGAGTGGCTACGGTACACTATTTATATAGGATTATGGGAAATCTCGATGTGTACACAGAGTCTGAGCTGTTTGAAGTCAATGTACCCCTTATATTTTCCGGCACAGTGGGTTTTCCGTGACCCAGGGACGGACGTTACTGCGGCTGGATTATCACTGTTGAATGTCACGGTTAATGGTGGCTGAAACGATGTGACAAGGGGTGAGAATGGATACATATATGAGGCACCCCGCCCATCCATAGCCAGACAATAAATGAAAAAGCAGACACAATCACTTGCTCAACAGGTTATGAGCCCGGCTCGCACGATTCAGGTTTTGAGAGATATATACCTACAGCTAAGCTTCCGCAGCAAGTGATGATCTTATGAGCGATGAAGTTAATATCTGCGAAACAGTCCAATAAGAACTCGGAACAAGACGGATCACCCTCCATCCGACGAAACCACAAACACCATAAATGTGATAGGGGTAGATATCACAGTGATAACCCCTGTGATAGGCGAATTGAAACCATGCCGAAACGGAAGGGGCAGAATCGACCCCACAACATGCGCTCTACGTCGTGCATATGAAATGACACCGAGAATACAAGAAGAGGTCGGGAAAGATGTCAACTCCAACGACAAGATCGCGAATTGACCTCCTCAAACCGCAACCACTACGAAAGAAACAGCGAAACAAAACCCACCGCTGGACAAGAGAGGAAGTAAATGACATCTCTTATCTTCGGCTAGACCGTAAGTGGACTTGGGGTCAGATTCAAAGCACGCTTTTCCCGTCAACATCGGTTGGCGCAGTCAAGATCGCATTCTTTCGCCTACCTCTTGAGGAGCGTATACGCCGCGCGTTAATCGTGTCCTCCCGCACCGGGGCCATTGAGCACTCCCGGTTTGAACAAGAACCAGACGCCCTATCCTCTAAGGCTGGGAAGAAACGTATCACCAACAACAACAATATCACGCGTTACAACCTCCGACCAAATAGACCCACGAGTTTCCAGGGAATTAGGTCGCAATACCCGGTTGACCGCCGACGATTTCCCCACTTCTCCAGGGCGTGCGAAAAACACTCTGAGCTACGCAAGGCACCAGACGGAGACTACGAGCCCCCTTCCCATTCGCCCACGCCAGGCTTGTCTGATCGCAGCCCTTCTATCATCTCAAGCAAACTAAGTGAAGCTTCAAGCCTCGAGCTTTTTGGCCTAGAGGCACGCTCCGCCACCGCATCCGACTACGCCACCTCTGTCGCCCCAAGCCCGCTCAGCAACGAATCAGAGTTTTTCAGCGCAGAGGAGCACCCAATTTCACCATGACCAACATTACAAAGTTTGAGCAATTCGGCCTGAATGCGTTCTACAATGCCATTCCAACATTGGACAACGCTAGTGACTGGTTCAGGTGGAACCAGAAGGTTAACGAATTCATCCGAATATCTGCTGTTGCCGAAGACGGAGCAACTCCACCTATAGAAGAAGAGGATGCACAACAATGGCAGCACCGCCATAAGTTCTACACGGCGATGATCGCAGCAAAGCTGACACACAATGCCGCGCAACGGATCAATGCTTTTGAAATCCATCAAGTTCAATCTCTTTTACAGGCAGTTAAGGAGAACTTTAAACCAGAAGGTTCAGGGACGTATGTCAACCTACAGCGGCGGTACATGTCCCTCACGCGAGAAAAATATGGGAGCACTCAGGCCCTAGGAGCCGAGATTAGAAGGATTCACGCTGAGAAACTTCTCCTCGACCCTGATTGTGTTACTTCGGAGATTGAGCGCACATTCTTCTTCATGCACGCGCTGGGCGCTGAATACAAAGGCTTCCGTAATCATATCTTCAGGCAGATGGACCTCGTCAACGATAGAGACGCAAACGGGCATATCATTAAGGCTGCACCCACATTCGACTATGTCGAAGGCAAGGCAATTAAGGAAGAACATAGGAAGGGGCAGCTGGGAAAACAATCAAGTGACGTGCAGGCGCTCCCTGCTCTTACTCTGATTCGGGGGCCTGGCCAGAAGAACCTTATTCCGTCATCCGATGGAACCACATGCCAAATCGAGATTAACAACGTTCCCTACTGCTCCTTCTGCCGAAAGCCCTACCACATCGAAACCGAATGCTTCAAGAAAAATCCGAGGCTGAAGGGCCAAGGGAAAGATGAAGAGGGACACAAGGCAAGGGCACAGGGCTCGCAAGCCAACGGTCGCAAACCGTCAAAGAGACAGCACTCTACTGACGATGAGGATAACGATGCGGGTGGCCCGAAAGACCCAAAGAAGCCCACCTTCATGGTAATAAAGGCTACAGGAGAAGACGTCAATGCGGCATTTAGGAAGGGCGTTGGAAGCAATTGCGCCGCACTCACCCATACCCTCGCGATGATGACTACAAGGACGCTCCCAATCCGCGACGCCTGGATCATCGACAGTGGCTGTGCCCAGCATGTGTGCAACAACGCCTCGAAGTTTATTCAGATGGGCACGTACCATGGGCCCGCACTTCGGAGCGTTAATGCATCCACATCTCCCTCAGGAGCGGTCGACTGCATTTCCCGCGCGCCGCCTTCTAGACAACATCGCCCCGTCCAGCTTAGTCAACCTCGTATACTTCTTTTAACCTGCTTGCTTTGCTTTGCCTGCTCCGCTGCGCTGCACAACATATGGTAGCTGAAATTCTTCCTTGATCTGCTGCAGTACGCGATTAAGCCCCGCTGCCACAATGCTACGTTTTGTCTGAACTCGCTCTGTGTCATTTTATTTTGCACGGTCTTACTGCGTCAAGACCCGCTCTTCCTCTCAGCTCGCCGTTCAGCTCACTACCCTCCGCAGGTGAAGCGCCAGCGCCCCCGATCGAGCGCGCCCAAATTGAAGTCGGGGTCGAAGGTCGAAGGTCGAAGGTCGCTCGTACTCCTGAGCGCTCTCACATGCCCTTGTTGAGGGGACGCGCAGTCGAAGCCAAGCATCTAGCAGCTTTTGGCGTTAGATCAGCTCCTCGCTGATATGAAAAGCGATTTACTAGTAGGTTATTGGAAGTCGCCTGGAACTTCGATAACGTAGGCGTTGCATGTCAGAACATTGGCGGAGGCGCTAAAAGCGGATAGGTCTTCGGGCGTATCCGAGGATGTGTCGCCGGGCCTCTCCGTCCTTAAAGGGAGATAGGGTGTCGGCAAGGTGCTGTCTACCAGGCTGGTGACAGACATCCAGGTGGAACTGCGAAAGGTACTGTAACGCCCTGTAGTGATGAATCAGAAGCCTCAGCTCGCTAAAAGCCTGTTGGAAAGCCTTGTAGGAGTCGCGGAGCTCTGCGCGGTCGTTGGCGCGAGTACAGCGGGTATGGCGGGCACCTTTACCGTAGGACCGCTCGGATCAGCCTTTCAGGTGTCATCGCTTCACAGCGTTAACCTTCGAGTAACATAACAATTCCGCTCCTAGTTACACTGATAGCCTACCAATAACATCTGGCGTTACCTATAGTTGGCGATAAAGACGAAGAACTAAACTAAGAGTTATTTCGTACGTGATTGCGTAAAGTAATAGGTTGAGAGCCAGCAGGTATTAGTGAGACACTTTATGTACATCATGTGCATGCCTTTTGAAATGCTTTTCGCCACTAAGTTCCGCAGAACATCTGGGATGCTCACATTCAAAGTCTTTCTGATACTCGGGCTCCTTGAAGTGGGTGTCCACATGCTTGTTAAGGACATCTTTTCGCCGTCTGCAGCGCATCCGTTGTCCGTACAGGAGCTCGGTGTCGCCTATACAAATGAGGCACACTGGGTAGGGAAGCTCCATGGGAAATGGGCGCTGGCCAGCCTCATCTTCGTCAGCCGCAAATGCGCATTCTTCTTTCTCGTAAGCTTGACTTATTCGCGAGTCAAAGCAACCAAGAATCGGGCCTCTATCCTGGCCATTATTCAGGGCCTTCTGTCGCTTGCTCTTAACGGATGGCTCGACGATTTCGAAGACAAAAGAATTCGGCTTGTTTCTTTTTGAAGCTTTGGGCTGACGAGTTTCTTGTCGACGACAAAGCCTAGCCATGGCGGAGATAAAGTTGATGCGAGCATTATGGGTTTCGAACGGCTTAAAGAGCATGCTAGCAACGGTGGCCCGCTCTCGAATTTCGAAGTCAGCGACCGGGAGGGTTAGAACCTCAGTCGCCGGCTTCCCGCTTAGCTGCCTAGCTATCTCGATCGTGTCGACCGAGTCGTGGAAATCGCGAATGGCTTTATCCACTCGTTTTCGCCTTAAAGCATTGTATGTTTTAGCAATCCATTTTTTACAGTCCTTATACTGCTTGTACAGTTCGGTTCCTTTGCCTTTTATAATAGGATAGTACCCTTGAGAATGAAGCTCTTTTGCGTATCCTGTACGTTCGTTACGAAGCGCTACAAGCTTAGGATTGTTCTGGACCTCTTCTAGCTGGCTGTCGTTAAGGTCCGCCGGTGCGCGTCGATCCCGCGATAGACCCATCCTCGCGACGGATTCAATAAGGAGATCTTCAGAAGGACTTCCAAAATAGATGGCCTGAAAATCGCGTGCAATGTGCGTCGGAGTATAGTACTTTTCATATGTACTGCCAAGATGGCCCATATTTTGGTTCCGCTCTGCCTCAGTCATGTTGCCTGGCGGATTCCAATGGTATTAGCATAGGAAAGAAGAAGGGACTTTAGGAAATTGCTCTTACGATCAATGTTCCTGCCTGAAGCTCGTCGTAGCTGATATAGCTCTAATGCTACTTTAAAGCCTGCAACACGCCCTAATCGCACAAATATGTCCCGATACTTTGCATATGGGAACGCCTTATCTTTTAAGATTTCAACACCTCCAGTCGTATGCTTGGCGTCGCAGAAGAAGGGCCGATTCAATACTTCATGGTCCCAATCAACATAAAGCACGTCGCGGTGGGCCGGTATAACTAGGTTAAAGATCTCTTGAACGCTCTTAAACTTATTCCGGAACGCGTTTTGGCTAACGCCAATAGACAAGATGTGTGAAACAATACAGAACGCAGGAAGTCCTTCAAGGTGGAACGTGTATTTCTTCCTATGGTGGTAGAAGTAGTTAGCGAGATGCATTACAGCATATATCGTGCAACTCACGGTTTCCCATCTTTCTCCTTGTTCTTAACGTGCTCAAGGTTCACATTCGCAGCGATTGTAGTCTTGGTAGGGTCTTCAAGACTGCGTACTACCATAATTTTGATGTCTTTAAACGATAGCGCCATGTTACTACCTCTGTTGCTTGCGCTTTCGACAAGTGCTCCTGGTCTTGTAGCTGTTGCTGCGCTAAGGAGAAGAAGAAGTGAAATCTGGACTCGAATAAAGCCGTGAAGAGGTTTGGTATCGTCTACCCAGAGGGCGTGGAGAATGGCGTAAAGGTCCTGGACGAACATAGCGTGCTTTTCCTTTTCCGATTTGTCAAGCTTAAGGCTTGGGATCCACTTCCACAGCTGTTAGTCTAGCTTTACAAGAAGAGTATATGGCCAGAACTTACATTGCAAACATCAGTAAGGACATCACCGTTCATCTTATGGCTTGTAAGGTCCATATAGCACATGCTAATTCGTTTCCAATAGGTCCGCATTGAGCTCTCCTTCTTAATTCGAAAATGTTTCTTCCGCCAGCGGAGATATGCTTTAAACACCTTTGGATCGCATTCACGCAGCTGGTTCTCTGGGTTTTTTTTGGTTGTTTTTTGAATCTTTAGGCAGTACCTAGTTTGCAGCAATTAGAGGGTGTAATGATGAGCTTGTGGGAATTTTTATAATTTACCTCTCCCAGAATTCGCCTTCCCTCTTCCATAGTTTCTGGGTATAAGGAGTATGGTTCGGTTTCGCGGGTCCGTCCTCCCCTAACTCAGCAATGTCTTTCAGTATTTCCTCAGCTTCGGAGTCCAATTCCACGTCTAATCCTGCATCTAACTCTGCATCCGACTCTGCATCTGACTCTGCATCTGATTCCGTATCTGGATCCGTGTCTAGATCTGGGTAGATGTCTGGGTCCGAGTATGAGTCCGAGCAGTCCGAGTCGCATTTAGCAAAGTCTAAGTCCGGACCTAGGCTTGCATGGGGAGGCGAGTATGGGTTTTGATTTGACATAGTCTTTGGATTCACGGCCCTGGTAGCTAGCGCTCTCGTCGCTCTTGAAACTGGAGCCGTTTCGATCGCCGCACCGCCGACTTTGTGTTATTATGCTAGTCTAGCGGGTACGTAAGTAGTTGGAGTCGGAAGAGAGGACGTAGTCTGGCGACGACGAGTTTGCCGAACGGGTAAGTTGAGCATTGTAGATGAGGATTAAATCGCCGGAGAGGAAGTGGAACGAAGATGGTGTAGGGGGAAAGAGAGAGGAAGTGGAACGAGGATGGCGAAGGGAGAGAGGGCGAAGAGAGAGAGAGAGAGA